CTCATTTTGTAATCAATCTTGAGATGAACAGTGACTACACAAAGTGACACAGAAGTCATTTAACACCCATTCCCTAGCCCTTCAGATTCCATTGTCATGAATAACAACACTGTGTGTGTGTGTGTGACAGGTTCAACATGTGAGGCCTGACTACATCTTCACATACTCTTCTTATCTGAGTAATTACAGGCAATTTCAGAAAAGAATGGCAGGGCAGACTGAAATTGGTGGTCTGCAGCCGAGTCTGTATGATTTAGTTCTCGTGTGTCGGACAGGAAGGGTTATTAACACTGAATTCAGAGTACACATTTTGCAAAGCAGGGTAAATACATGCATGGTCTCACCTTCAAGATTCAGGATCTTGCCTCTTCACTATTTGACAAGTCTGGTCTGCAGTAAAGAAGGATGCACCAGCAGCTAGACTACTAATTACCTCCAGAAGGCATTGCATCCCTGCCTTTTTATTCCGGGATAACACATCAAGGCAGCAAACATGCCATAAAACATTCAAGCAAAGTTTGTTTGAACATAGAGAAGAGCCTAGGAAATAAAAGAGCACAGATTTCCTAGAGCTCCCTTTCCTCGCAGAAAGGCTACCGGAGATGTGATAGGTGAGTTCTCAAAAATTAAAGGCTCCTATTTGGCTCCATGAGCCAATATGCCAGAACGTGGGAACACGGATACCCCGAGTCACAACTCAGAAGCAGAGGTAGGTACTTCTACACATGGAATATAGCAGTGTACCCGAATGTCATATTGCACTGTCCCAGCCTCTTGCTCTAAGTGTTATAATGACTGTACTTTCTGATCCTTTAGCTAAAAGCAGAACTGACGTCTTCTCCTTTTCTTTGTGCCCTTTCAACGGACTGGCAGAAATTCCAGGTCCCCTGGAATTAATTCTCAGGTCCCCTGAGAAAAGAGTTCAGAATAATGTGTACGAACCTATCTGGGTATTACAAGATGAACTTTTATAATGCACTTCGTGTCATGCATATAGCACTGATTCACTTTGACACAATTAATATCTTCAGCATTTTCTTTTATTGTCTCTAACTGAGAAAGGGGAATTGATACTCCCAGGGCATATCAACGCAATAGTGTGCATGGCCTTCATAAGATATCATAGCATTTGCTTTGCTTTGTGCCTATGAAATGTGAACATAAACCCATATTATCATCTTTATGTAAAGATTCAGTTAATCATTTGCTGCATCAAAGCTATATAAATCTCCACGCTTAGCTTATATACCTGAAACAAGGAAACAAGCACATTTCTTTTACGAGCATGGATCTGGGATCAGTAAAATTCAGAACATGATGGTAAATAAAACCTATGAACTTTATTTTTAAGGAACACAGCTACTGAACAAAAAAGAAGAAAGAAAGAAAGAAAGAAAATCAAATCACTTGCTAGTATTGTTAAAGAGTAGATAACTGCAAGGTGTATTTAGAGAAGACCACTTCCACAGATTTTGCATATGTGGCTTCAGATCGGGTCATGTATGAAATGCTGATGTCTAAATCAAGGATCTGGCCCTACAGAGGTTTCCTTGCTCACTACTCCTGCAGGGGAGAAAAGCCGGCACCGCCAGGGGGCAATTAATACAGCACATGCCGAAAACATCCGGCAGCCTTCCGATTTCAGAAAAAACGCCATCACCCAAGGGGCCTGAATTCACAGTATCCTCGGCGTTTGTCTTAGCAGAGACAGGACACTTTGAAAAGGCTGATCATAGAATAATTATGGTCGGAAAAGACCTTCAAGATCATCAAGTCCAACCATAAACTTATCCCCATCCTGCCTGCTAAACCATGATCACAAGCATCTCATGTGCACGTTTCTTGAACATGACCAGGACTGGGGACTCCACCACTTCCCTGGGCAGCCTGTTCCTAGGCT